AAGGGACAGACAAACTGGAATAAATAGGCTGTAGAGGCAATTTTTGTTTTGATCAGATTCTGTTGTCTATGGGAAATAGAATCATTTCTCTGAGACACTCAGTTGCATTGCTCAGCAGGAGAGAAACTGTTAGGGTAATGCCAGTTCCACACATACCAAAGTAATAAATGTCTATCATTTCTCTTTTTCTTTCCCAGAGAGTTAGACAAGGAGTTAGACCATTTTATAGTCATTTTAATAATGAAAAAGCCAAGGCTTTTAAATACTATCAGATTTGGTAAAACTCATTCAAAAAATTAAGTGGCCAACCAGGATATCCTCTTCTGTGACATATCTGTTTGTGTCTTGTTTTTTTCTGTTGTTTCCTGTGTTTTCTGTTATTTCATATATTGATTTTTTTAAATGTATTAGTTCAGAATCCTTTGTAAATGAACTATATGTGGATATATATACTGGCTTATTTTGCATTCTCTTAATGGTGTGTTTTGATAAACTAATGATGCTGATTAACATTTTCCAGATTGCCAGGCTTTCCCTAATGGTCAGTGCTTTCTTTTTCTGTGTAAGAAATGTTTGCCTAATGATGTGAAGACTTTTTTTCTATCTTACCTTTCACAGTTAGTTTTATAACCTATCCATTTTTTAGTATGGTGAAAACTATTTCTTCAGAATAAGTCTGCTGAGAACCAATTTCACTTTTTTCCCTAAAAGTGTTTTTTCTTTAAATTACAATTTGAAAGAAGTTTTTATTAGGTACAAAATTTTATATTGAAGATTTTTTTCTTTTAGCATTTTGAAATGTCATTGCATTGTCTCTGGTTTCCATTATTTCTGTTGAGAAGTCATCCTTAGGTCCTATTGTTACTATTTAGAAATTAATGGATTTTTATTTATGAATAATTTTACATTATTTTTTTTACTTACAGCAATTTTACATAAATTGGCCTAAGTGAGGTTGCTTTGTATTAATTCTGCTTATGGATCATAACTCTTAAAACAGTGATTTGACATCTTCCAGTAATTCAGGGAGAATTATCAGCCATAATTTTTCAACTACACTTTACTCTTTATTTTTCTTTTAAACTAGCTTTTACTAATACCTTCTTTAGCCTATTTTTAATTGCTGCCAAATCTACCTATTAAAATTTTTAGCTTCAATTATTGTATATCTTTTTTAGTTTCAGAATTTACATCTGATTTTTTTAATAGTCTCCAGTAATCCGACCAACTTCTTTGCTTTGAAAATGTTCCCATTTGGCATTTAATTCTTAAATACATTAATCATAAATTTAAAGTTGTGTCTATAGCTGGATCTCTATTATGTCTATCTGTTGTCTTATTCTCTTGGTTTTCAGTGATTCATTCTTATTCTTCTGGAATGCCATGTAATTTTTTAAATGCTGGACACTTTGTGTAAAATATTGTAGTGATAATTTGAGACTCTGAGTTGTTTAATCTTTTCCAAAATAGGATGTATTTTTCTTCTGAAAAGCAGGTGAGACAGAGCAGAGAATATCATAAAATTAGGAACTGAATTGATTAAAAATTGGACTTCAGTTTGGGAGTTTGGGTTGTTTTATGTTTGTTTTTTTGTTTGTTTTTTGTTTGTTTTGTGTTTTTTTCTGTGTGTGTTTTTTTGTTTTGTTTTGTTTTGTTTTTGTGGGGGGCATGGTGTTTTTGTTTTTGTTTTGAAGCTGTTCAGAGACCTTTATTCTGATCCTCATTATTCATTGAGCAACCTACAGAAGACATTTTTTTTTATCGCTGCCCCAAGCAGCAGCAGCTGCATCCAGGCCTGAAATGAAAGGCACAAACAGTGTAAGGCCTTGTAGAGAAAAGCTAACAGGTGAGATCTCTGCTTGGTTAGTTGAAGGTATAAAAGGGAAAGTGCAAAGTATAATATTTCAAAGACTCTGTTCTTCTAAGCTGAGGCCAGCAAGAGAGGAGCTAACTAATGGACACAAAACTGCCCAACACAGCAATCTGATGGACTGCACTTTTTTTAAAGAGCTGGTTTATTGCAAGTTCATCCATGTCCCCAGAGCTCACCCATCAGGAGACTCCACAGAAAATTAGAGGTACTTATCAGAGCATCTTTTCCTTGGCAAGTTTTGTCTCTCCCTCCTATTTTTACCCCTCCAAACTTTTAAGACTTCTAGAGGCTCTGTTCAACTTGGCACATGTAGAATGTCAGCTCCCTATGTTGCACCTCTGAACTTTGTGATGTATTGATGGCTCTTGGGTGCCTTAAAATAAGGGCTTATATAATACTAGAGGCCCGGTGCATGAAATTCGTGCATAAAAGGGTGTGTGTCCTGCAGCCCAGCCTGCACCCTCTCTAATCTGGGACCCCTTGAGGGATGTCCCACTGCCCAATTAGTCGGGCAGTTGGACATCCCTCTCACAATCCAGGACTACTGGCTCCCAACTGCTCGCCTGCCTTCATGATTGCTCCTAACCACTTCTGCCTGCCAGCCTGATCATCCCCTAATCTCTCCCATGCCAGCCTGATTGATGCCTAACTGCTCCCCTGCCAGCCTGTTTACCCACAACTTCCCTCCTCTGCTGGCCTTGTCACCCCTAACTGCCCTCCCCTGCAGGGTTGATCACCCCCAACTGCCTTCTCTTGTTGGCCTGGTCCCTCTCAACTGTCCTCCCTTGCAGGCCTGGTCCCTCCCAACTGCCCTCCTCTGCTGGCCATCTTGTGTCCACATGGGGGCAGGATATTTGACCACATGGGGGCAGCCATCTTGTGTGTTTGAGTGATGGTCAATCTGCATATTACTCTTTTATTAGATAGAATTTTCCTTGTTTCTAGCTGTTCTTGGTATAAGGGTTAGGCTACATCATAGTATTCTACCTTAGGCAGAAATTCCTTCCTTAATGTGATTTCAGTTTGCATTTCCTTCTTTATTAGCAAAGTGAATCATCTTTTCACATGACTATATGCCATTTAAAAAAATTTAATGAACTGTTGTACTATTTTCTATCATATTCTTTATCTTTTTTATCTCTATTTTATTTTATTTTTTTATTATTTTTTAAGGGCATCACTATTTTTTTTTATTGATTTTTTTACAAGAGAGATAGAGAGTTAGATTTTTTACAGAGAGGAAGGGAGAGAGATAGAAAGTTAGAAACATCAATGAGAAAGAGTCATTGATCAGCTGCCTCTTGCACACCCCCTGCTGGGGATATGCCCACAACCAAGGTACATGCCCTTGACCGGAATCGAACCTGGGACCCTTCAGTCCCCAAGCCGACACTCTATCCATTGAGCCAAACCAATTTCGGCTTCATCTCTATTTTAGAGCCCTTTATATTTTAAAGATGTCAATGATAAAGGGTATAAATATTTTCAATTTATAACCTTTCTTTTTTTTAAACATTGCTTATGGTATTTTTTCTACCCACAATTTATTATATTTATATAAAGTAAAATAGTTCCATTTTGGGGTTATTACTTCTGTGTTTTCAAACATAATTAGCAAATATTTTTCTCTTCCCAGGCTTAGGGAAATCCACCATCCCCCCCCCCCCCCCCCGATTATGTCTTTAAAGAATGTGTTGATAAAAAATTGAAAAATGGTCCATTTTCTAGAATTGATAAAGTGAGAAAGGATATAATACAGTGTTAAGTCCAGTTGGAAGTCGTATGTTTTGTTTTTTCTTCCTCAGCCCCAGAACTAATGAAAAGAACTCATGGACACAGTTACTTTCATGTTGTCCTTGAAGGGCTTGGAAGCCTATTGAGTCTTTTCATTTCTTCCTGTGTTATCCTCCTTCTGACTTCTCTAAGATCATCAGGGTTATATCTATATTGACGTCTCCAAAATACATGCATGTCTAATTCATCATTCTCTTCCTCATCACTGGATGCAAAAGCTTTTTTGGCATTTCCACATAAACCTAGCACTTCAGACTTCAAATCTAAAATGGCTTTCTTTACCTTCCTCAAACTTGCTTCTTTTATATGTCTTCCAAAACTACATCCGTCCATCCAGACTCAGAAATGGGTCACCTTTGAGTCATACTTCTCTATTCAGTAAATCATTACAAAAGTGCAAGTTTCATCTTTGAAGGTGTTTTCCTCTGAAGAAATTATAAACTATTTTTTCAACCTTGCTTCATTCTCACCTACAGGCACACAAAGTTTACTGCACTGCAGGCTCAACAAGCACTCATGTAATAAACATGAATTTAATCTTGTTTAAAAAATTACAGAAATAATTAAAACTCTGAAAGTATGGATTTTCCAGCTCACTTCATATGTATTTGTATTTTCAAATGCTCTGGCTCTTCAAGTTGTGAAAACATAATAGATACTTAACTAAAGAAATAAGAGGATATTGACTATCTGGGAAATTTCTCACAATTAAAAAAAATCCCTTATTACTATATTTAAGCACATGATACAGTTCAGTCACAGTGAGTAGATGACAAGCCTTAGAAGCTGCCCAAATAGAGAACAATCACAATAGAAATTAAAGACTGGACTCTTGGCAATCCAAAATGGCAGCCTCTGAGCAGACTCCTAGGGCAGCAACTAAGCCATTCATTTGTGTTTCAATAAGAAACTCGTTGCCAGGGGAATGACTCTTTCTTCGTTCAGCCTAAGGCAAAGTAGGTTTTCTTTTCTCTCTTCAAAGGTTAAGCTACATAAACACACCAATATACAAATTTTCCTAAATTTAAATTGCAGGTTGTTCTGATTAAACCAAGTTTCCCTGCTTTCATGCCGCCAGATTTCTAATTTTAAAAGTCATGTATGTATAGATGTGATTATCTCACAAATTGAAGGATTTACAGGATGGCAGCACTACAGTATTCCAACAGCTCAAACTACTATTTTCTTAATTTAACTTTTTCTATAAAAGAAGGTAAGTCCCAGGAACATTTTTGAATTGAGAGGGCAGTAGAGGGTGACAGAACAATTGGCAGTCAGACACCTCTAATTCCCTGTTAATCAAGGGACTGTCTTCTTTCACTCTTTCCTCAAGGTGAGGACACGCTAAGAGTTCCTGTAAAAAGCAAAGGCTCCTGTGACACAGACAACTCTGCAAGTCCTGATGGTAAGGTCCTAAGCGCTCTGAGCTCAGGCAGTCTACAAATGTGGCACATTTTCTGTGTGTAACCTAGGATTAAGGGAGCTCACTATTCCATGAATTAACATATTTTGTTAGAACAAAATCAAGTTCAAAAACCACTTTCTCCTAGGAACTAATAAAATTGGCAGCCTTCTTTAAACACTGACTCTAAGTTAAAAAAAATAGCATGTGCCTCAGTTGAATCATGAGGCCACACTGGGTAATTCCAAGGCTAGCCTGGATTGCAGGAAGTTGAGCTGGTGAACTTTATAGAAGCATCATTTACTTCTGAAAAAATGCTTGTTCCACTATTATCCCTGTTACCACTCTGGAGGTTTGGCTTGAGCTTGGGCCAAGGTCATTATTGAACTTTTGTCACTTTATCTCACTGCATCACATCCAATGTCTTGGCCAAATATGTACTGTCTTTAAAAGCACCCTAGAAATACATTTACAAAAACCGTTTTTTCATTCACATCTCATTTTGAAAGCATCTGAAATGCAACCATACCCTCAACTCCTGCTGCGGACCCTTTGTAAGCTCATTACTTGCATTAGAAACAACTACTGTTTGAACACACAAGGTTTAATAAATATTTCATTCCACTGCCCCACAGAGCTTAGGAGACACAGAATTGATCAATGTTCAACTATTTATATGCATCTTGCTGTTTGAGTTACTTTCAAATTACTTTGAGTCAATAAATGACCTTGGAAAAAATTAAGCTACTGGATAGAAGTTACTTGGTGGTTTTACGTAGAGTTTCCCATAGTACTGGGTATTCATTCCCTCCTGCTATAGGCCCTTTTTCACAAACTGATTTTTCACTCATGGGCAAACATCATCTGGAAAAATAATGTTTTTAAATACTAGCTCTATCCATTAAAAGCAACCATGTGTTAGTCATGCTCATATGAACAAAACTTGCCCAGCCTGGTTTTGCCTCTGTAGATATAATTCATAACTAATTTTTACAAAGCATGTTCTAAAGAACACCAAGACCAAGACCATGCAATGATCTTTGACTAGAATAGAAATAATTGTGAGAAGTACTAAGTTTTAGTGATTTCTTGGAGACTCACTATGCATATTGCAGGTTCTCACAAGTCTCAGCTGTAAATTAATTTATTAACATGGTTTAGAGTTGCTTTTCCCAAATGCATTCTATCATGGAATGCTTTGTATAGAAACATTTGTTAATATTTTGGAACTAATAACTATTGGTTAGAGGAAGAAACAGAAAAAGGATACTCTACTATATTTTATTATGCCCCCACACTTACAAAAATTTTGTAGGCCAGGATTGAAAGTCCCTGTATTATTCTCTTTCTATAGGTAAAATGTCTGCCTCTGGCCAGTTTACATCTGGGTTTAGAATGAGCTCACATGTCATTAGAAACCCAGGCTTGTGTGAGGTGAGACCAAAGAGATCTACTTTTCAAACCTTCCTCCTTGAGAGAGAGTTGGGTGGGGATGCCACATGATGTCATTCCCTCTTTCATACCTCTTTGGAGAGTGAAAACCAGCATCTGCTGCTATTTTACTTTAGTCAAGCTTTGAAGTTTCAAGAAAAACTTATTTCAGTTGTTGATTTTGTGCAAATACAGGCTACCCAAATGAGAAAACCCAAAGGTTACTTATTCAGAGCGTACCATTATCACTTCTGTTTGGCCAACTCAAAGGCAAGCAGGGAAGCGAGGAACTTTTATAGCTTACAAAAAGGAAGGCTCCATGGTTCTATGTCTCTGGATTTATTTTGTTCATCAGTATATTTTGTTCTTTAGATTCCACATGAGTGATATCGTGTGATAATAGTCTTTCTCTGTTTTGCTTAGCATAATACTCTCCAGGTTCTTCACTATGAAATCTCAGAGGGAATGCATGAAAGAACTTATATGCATATATGCAAAACCCATGGACATAGACAATAGTGTGATGAAAGCCTGGAGGGGAAGGGGGGGGGGGCAGAGATGGGCTAGAAGGGGATCAATGGGAAGAAAGAGAGGGCATCTGCAATACTTTCAACAATAAAAATAAATGTTTAAAAAAGGGCAGGGGAGGCTCAAAGCATCCTCTGACTAAAGTTCTTGGCATGAGGAAAGGAAACCTGGGCTTAGTAAAAGTGGGATGTCTTAGGGTAGGCGATTGGCTTGGGGACATACTTTACTTTTCCTGGTTGGGGCAAGCATATGGAACCTAGCAGTCACTGACCATTCTGAGCTAATTGTTGCAAAGGTTGTGGTTTGGTTGCCTGGGCTGGTTGGTGCATAGGTTTTAAGTCAGAATTCTGTTGTTATATACAGCCTAGCCATTGTCCATTTGTGTATTGTTTCTCAGTTTATAATATGGGCTTTGATGCTTTAAAAGTATCATCCTATTTAAATCAATGACCCTTGAAAATTTCCCAAATGATTGTTATGCCTACTCTTGGCTACTTCTGGACAATGCCAGTAATTATGAATTCTATTTGTATGCAAATGCTCACCTAGAACAATACACAGTGAAATAAAAGCACAGGTTTTGTTTTATTATTTCTGTGTGATCTGGTTAGATGTTTTGCTTTTCTATTAATATGGAACCTATTGCCTCTGTACCCAATGGCAGGCTTATAAGGTCTGCTTCAAATTTCAAAATTGAGAACATGGCAAAACAAAGAGGCCTATTGACATAGCTCCTTCCAAGGGAGCTGCTTGCCTCTGCAGATCAATGATCTCATTTGCTTTGTTTTCTTATATATTTATTAATGTCTTTAAATTTATCTAAGAATGGTAATACATATACCCAAAATATCAACCCAAAAATCTAGTATGAAATGACAACTTAGCTTCTACAATTCAGTACAAAGGCAATTCTTCCCTCCCCATTTCTCTTTGGTAAAAATCCGCAAGAATGACCCTAAAATCATAAATGAATAAAAATGAACTGAAAATAAGTATAAAGTAGGAAATCAAAAAAGTATCCACTCATAGACCATTTTAATGTATTTAAGAGATTTGGTTTTAATAAATATTTAACCTTTTTGTTTTCCTTTCTGGTTATAGTTGAAATGAATAGTCAGGTTGACAGTGTAAATGACCCAACAGAGAGTCAGCAAGAAGATTAACTAATAGGTAAGTTGTTCGTGTGGTGAGATTTTTAATTAATTAAACTGGTCAGAGGAACTATTTGTAAACGGCATATTGGATTTCCCTCGATTCTACCAAGTCCCACAGCATGGTTCAGGCTAAACTTTTAAAATCTTTATACCCAATAACACAGTATAAGGAGCAAAAATTACCATAGAAGCCTGCCATCTTTCAGAAATTCAGAGAGAAAGAAAAGCCACAGCATATTTAAATCATGCAGTTCTCTAGTTTTCTGAGCTTGCGACAACAAGAAAAAATGGTTTTCCATTCATCTTACCTCCTGGCCTCCTGGAGTGATTAAATTATTTCAGCAGCCTCTAGCTTAGGGGTGTCGAACTCAATCAGAGAAGGGGCCAAAATCTAAAATCCAGCCTAAATCGCGGGCCGAATGGTTTACTGAACAGTCATAAACTGTCATTGTGATGGAAACGCAGCGGAGTGCAGTGATGACAGCGTGGTGCGGGCCACATTGCAAGGCCTGGCGGGACGGATTTGGCCCGCGGGCCTTGTGTTTGACACATGTGCTCTAGCTGATTCTGAAGTATTGCTTTTCCAGAATTTACCTGCTGAGTTGTTTTAGTAGATCTTTTTTTAAGCATAACAACTAAAGCTTTGCCCTAGGGAATGTGTAAAGGCCCTTGAGTGTGTCTGGGCAGAAAGAAACCTGTCTCATATCCTAACCTCTCCCATCACTACCTGTGGACCTGTTTCTGCACAAAGGTTTGTTGAGTTGAATGAGCCTGGGGGAACTCCCAAAGAAAACTCCAGGCCACACTTAGGAGTTTTTCCAGACCAACACACTAAATCTCTCAGCAGAGAATGAAGTATATCTAGAATGATGAGTGGTCTGTAAGTCTTTGCCTAGTGTAAGACACTGTTGCCTCCAGCACCACCCTGCACCCCCTGTATCTTCTCAGTAGGTCTCTGTATCCCCAGGAGGCCCTGCAGCACCAAACTCTTGAGTCCCAGCATCAGAGCAGAACAATGTTTGAGAATGTGTGAAAATACACACACATCATGATCTTGAACATGATTTAAACTAGATGTAATAGTATTTGTATAATGCATGTATAGCATAGGACTGCTAAAAAATTATAAACACATGCAAACACGGTCTTAAAACATGTCTTTTTTTTTTTACTGATAACCTCATTCATATATTTTAAATAATTTGCAAAGCTGCAAAAATGATATGGTAAAGAAGTGCCATTGAAAAGTAATGAAGTGAGACTAAACCTGAAAATTTTAAAAACAAGTTCTTCAGTGTTGCTTTACCTTTTGTCCTTTAGTTGGCACCAAACTGTAGACTTCTTGTCTGGCTTTTTTTTTCTTTCTTATAGACACTATTATTTTCCAGTGTGCTCAATTTCCAGATATTTACCAGGGCAAATCTGTTTTCTGTAATAACTGTCAAAATATTTTCCTTGACCATAAACACCAATTTATATCTTCACCCTAATGAGTAAGTTGTCAAAACTTAAAGTTCAATATTAGTTTAAGGAAACTCAATTCTAGCAAGAGAAGGGGCTCACTCAGGGTCACTTGGCTGGTCAATGGAAGTTTAGATACTCCAAGTACCAATTCTTTGATGTCACCACATTGTTCCTCAAACAATAGTGATGTGTTGTTGTTTTTTAACACAGTTGTCACAGGGAATAGTATGACCTGAGGAACTTCATTGATTCCTACAAAAGCATTTAGGCAGTTAAGTTTGTAAGCATTATCTGGCAGTTTACCAGGAAGAAAGAACCTAACCTTTAGTTCTGTGTATCATACCTGTAAGGAAACTAAATTAGAATCAGAAACTGATCTAGAATTAGAAAGATCAAAGACATAATGCAAAAGTGTTTTGTGTTGTATAATTTATAATTGTGAAAAAGCAGAGATATAGAAAATAAGAATAAGGGAACATATCAAAGGAGAAATAAAACATTTTGCAAATGTAAAAATAATTTTAATAAGTATTTGAGGGCATGTAAAGAGATGGTTATAAAATTACAGAAATATGGAAAAACATGGTAGGCAGAGGGTATTGTGGCTTCCAGTTTGGGTATTAAGAGGCCTTGTAGCTTCCATTTTTGCTCATTCAGAATGACCTCTCCTGGAATCCAGCCAACCCTTGTGTGAAGCTCAGGCACATCTATAGAATGACAAAGCCACATGGAGAGAAACTCACGAGATCTTCTGTGATGTTCTGGCAATAGTATTGTAGATATTACCTGGAGCAGATAAACTGCCCAGCTGATGCCAGACCAAATTATAGAATCATGAGAAATAATAAATAGTTGATTTTTATAGCCACTAAGTTTTGGAATTGTTTGTAATGTAGCAATAGGTAACTGAAGCAATGGGAATAATATAGACCTCTTCTCAACACAAATGTAGAGATAAACTATAACAAAAATATTTTAAAGTACAAAGCTCAACGGACATAAAAGCAAAGACACCAGGAGTAATGAGGAAAAAGAAAGTCAAAACAAATAATCTGGTGAGCTGGAGATGTAGCAAGACTAAGGGCTACAGATTATTGTTGATGAAGAAATAGGCCCTAGGACTAGGGCTTGGATTCTAATGCCCACTTGGGACCTTGAGCCACTCAGGGTAAGAAGCCATATCAATATCAATATATCAATCTGGGACTCTCAGCTCAAGAAATTAATAAGGAGACATGAGTCTGCCCAGAGTGCAACATGAACAAAGAAAAAGACTCCCATCATAAGCTGAAAACATAAATGCAGAAATTAACCCTAATAAAAGAGTGATATGCAAATTAACCATCACTCTGCTCAAGCCACACCCAACAGCCAATCAAATCGAGTATGCAAATTAATCCCAACCAAGATGGCTACAGCCACAGAGAGCATCTTATCCAGGGTGAGTTCACAATTTTCAGACATAAAACACACAAGGAAATGATCCATTAAAAATAAGAGTCAGTGGGTAAAATTACAGTATAATTAGTACCATAAGCGCTCAAGAGAGTAGAAAATTTTGAAGACTTTATAAAGTAAATATACATAAAAATGACAAAAAGATGAAAAGCAGATATAAAATAAGAGCAACACTATGAAAAATTAACAATAATTTGGAAAAAGCAAATAAAAATGTAATAATATAAAAGACACATGAAGAGACGTGAGGATAAGACATAACCAAGATGTTTTGTTGTTTAATAGACATTTTAAAAGGAGATATATTATCAATATTTGAAAGATCATGACAGAATTTATTAGAGTTAATAATAGTCATGAATTTTAAATTAAAGGAAGAAAAATAAGTTGCAACAAAGATGTATATTTAAAATAAACTCACATGCAGGCACTGGTGAACACCAAAGAGAAGAAATTAAAGCAATCTGAGAGACAAGGAGCTAACCTAAAAAGAAGTCAGGATTTTGCGAATAGCAGGCTTCCCAAGAAACATTTAGGTCAGAAGACAGTGGACTAGTTGTGAGTTTTCAAAACTTGGATATAAGTAATTGCCAATATAGAGTTCTAGACTAATTGTTGTATCACTTAAGAAAATGGTATTTGCCATTTTTCAGGTGAAAACAGATTCTTTAAAAGCTTCTAAATATACAGCAGGAAGAAGAAAATTGAGCCCAGATGAAAAGAGTAGGGTGAAAGAAACAATTGTGAGCCAAGAAAAATTGTAAGCACAAAGGCAAATTAAAATAAACATTGATTATAGATTGATAATACTAATTGGTATGTGGTTAAAAACAGGGCACAACAAACCTACTATTTATGTACATTTTATAATACACAAAGTAATGCTATATGCTTTTTATTATATGTGTTCATGTTATAAATATATGTATTTAAAGGTATAAAACCATGTAAATAATTGATTCACACCAATATTAGGAATTGGTCATCTCTGTGAAGGAAGAGAAATAGTTTTACTTTATCTTAAATTAAATTAATTTCTGTGCAATGTTTCATTTTTTAAAGTAAAATGAAAATTAAAAATAAAACATTACAAGGGTATTTGAAAAATATTAACACATTAAATCCAGAAAGAAGATATATTCTAAATATGTTATACTATTGTCTGTAATTTTCTTCACGTTTACAATTTTCATTATTAAAATTAAATATTATGTAGAAAAGATATTAAAAAAAACATATAAGAAATACTTCATAGTATGCTTTTTAAAAATACATTAACTACAGAAGTTATTGCTAATAGGAGGATTATGCAGGATTCTTTCTTTCCTTATCTATTTTGAGTTAAGATCTCAAAATGTGGATAACCATCAACAATTTTTAAAATCAACATTATATAAATTGTATATAATTTGTGATTATTATGATTTCTCGGTTGTGCTCTGGAAGCTAGAATGTATGAATAGTCCCGAAAAGGGAGGGCACATCCAGTTAAGGTGAGGTTTTTAAAAGAATACTTGCAGAGTTGGGTTAATCATCCCTATCAGCCAAAGCAAGTTGTCAATGTGGCATACATTTATTACACAGTGATTAAGATGCTATTTAAAAATATCATGTGCCAACAATTACAGCTTAGATATCCAAAGTTCTCTGATAGTCAAATTGCCATTTTAAATGTTTTGAGAAACATTTAAATGGCTGTATAGTGGTTCCATTTATCTATAGTTTTTCTTTTCAAGGCTTTATTTATTTGTTGTCGATTGCAGTCTGAAAATATTAAATGGAAATTCCAAATATTTTGAGGAAGAGACACCACATCCCTGTAATTTTATTAAAGTATATTGTTATAATTATTCTATTTTAATATTAGTAATTCTGGTTACTCTTTTACTATGCCTAGATTTTAAATTAATGTTATTGTAGGTATACATGTATAGGGGGGAAAAACCCCACATAGAATATATACAGTTGGGTATTATCTGGGGTTTCAGGCATCTACTGGGTGTCTTTGAACATGTCCCACCACTTAGATAAGGGGTGACAATTGCATTAAAATATGATATTCTGCCCTTGCTGGGTGGCTCAGCTGGTTAATACATCCTCCCATACATCAAAAGGCTGCAGGTTCAATTCCTGGTCAGGACACATATCTGGGTTGCAATTCTATCCCCATTCTGGGTGAGTATGGGAAGCAACTGGTCAATGTTTCTCTCTCACATCAATGTTTCTCTCTCTCTCTCTCTCTCTCTCTCTCTCTCTCATCAATAAAAACACATATCAGGTGAGGATTTTTAAAAAAAAGATATCCCTTGCTAAGCTTATAAAGATGGTTTATCTTTAATCTAAGAAATGGTTTCTCCTTGTCTTTGGCAGGGGCACAAGACGAAGGAACAAAGAAATGGAAGTAGATGCCAGTCCTCAGCCTTGCAGCCTCTGCTGGCCCTGGGGGAAGAGGGGGAGCCAGCAGCGGTGCTGTGGAGGAGGGTGGGGGAGGGGGAGGCAAGTCTCACACAAGGATGGGGGGATACTTTGCTCTACTTTCTCAGCTGCATTTTGTTCTTTTTACTTGCAGAAAGAAAACAAAAAACTTTTCTTTAACTAGGTGGGGTGACCCACATTAACGCATCTTTCCGGCTCTGTTCCTGTAATTTCTGTGTTTTCTCTTACAACTTCTCCCCAGGGTCATGGTTTAGCACTCATGTGTGTATCCTGGGCCCTGTCTGCTTTCTTGGTTATTTCACAAAGCTGGTTGGACAGTAGTTTCTTCAAGGAAAGGAGGAAGGCCATTGTTTGATAAGCTGCAGGCTAAATTTTAGGAATTGCCAAGCCCAATATCAGCATAATCCACAGGCAAAGGAGACAGGAGAGGAAATGGCCAAAACCCTCAGTGATCACTTGAAAGGTCAGGATGATGATTTGAAAATGATGCCTTCTTCAGGGGTTCCCAAGGCACAGGAATATGTAAGCAGGGCTTTATCCAGAACACAGTACAGAGATGTGCAGGAGGGCAGGCCCTGACAGCTTTCTTGCCTCCCCTTCCATGGGTAGGACAGCGGGGATGTTCTTATTTGACATCATCTTTCAGCAGACCTTTCTCTGTTTGTGAGGTCTTTACCAAGTGCTTCAGTGTGGAGCCCCCAAGGGGGCTGTGAGTGAGTGTGACACCATCCTAAGGGAATGGTACCTCTGAATTAGCTGCCCTTATGCATAGTTTATTTGGTGTACATCTATCTAGGCTGTTTATTTAGGACGGGTGGGGGTAGGGGGCGCGCTGCTGCATTTGGGATCCAAACATATGCCTGTGACATTAAAAACTCCACTTGAATCTCTCTTGATATACTTGCTTTTCATAAAAATAAAACATGTTATTTTTACCCAAGGTTTGATCGCCTGCAGAGCAGATTCTCACTTGAAATTAGAGGCAGTTAGAGGTCTCGCTTGCAATTTTGGCTTCCAGTTCCCTTTAAACAGTGTGGCTTGCCCAAGCCAAGTCCAAGACTAATGTGATAGCTGGTCCCCTCTCTCAGCAGATTATGACCATTACAGGGAGGAGCAGCTGTGCTTAAGATCCAAGAGGTCAGTTGGCACAGGGGTGAAGGACCCAGGTGAGACGTTGCCACAAATGGTGAGACTTTGTCACAAATGTCTATCCAAGAGCCAACATGAACAAGCACCCTCATGTGGCAAGGTGACTGCTTCCCACAGCCTCCTTGGGTTCAAGACCATTCTCTCCCCACCCCCTCAGCCAGCCTCTGGAAACTGTTATCATTTCTTGCATAGCTTCTTAAATCCATCTTTCTTTTAAGAGTTTCAGAATTGTAAGTTATTTATTTTTCTCTTAGAAGGATAAAAGTAATGGATCAACTCAAGTATTTCTAAAATAAAAGGATGTTTTGCTTTTTAACTATTCCATGAAATTCTTCAGTTTTGCCCTTTCCTCTATGGAAATTCAACTCCTTATCTTTCTGTGAAAGCTTTGTTGGCCTCTCTGAATTTGCTGCCCTTATGCATAGTTTATTTGGTATACTAAAATCAAGTGCGAGATACAGTTCTGCATATGTAATATGATTTTTAAGAGTCCGTATTTAAAATATCAGTCTAGCAGCAATGTTTCTTTTAAGTGACCTCATGATTTTGGAACTTGGCCATGTCTCCTGCCATTTATTCTACAGCCTTCCACTGCCATTAGACATCACTTTCTAGGGGGAAAGAAAGAAAGAAAGAAAGAGAGAGAGAGAGAGAGAGAGAGAGAGAGAGAGAGAGAGAGAGGGAGGGAGGGAGGGAGGGAGGGAGGGAGGAAGGAAGGAAGGAAGAAAGAAAGGAAAGGAAGAAAGGAAGGAAAGAAGGAAGGAAGGAAGGAAGGAAGGAAGGAAGGAAGGAAGGAAGGAAGGAAGGAAGAAAGAACTCATTTTAAATAATTCAAGAAATGATACCATATTAATACTAAGTTTTTCATATTTTATGTCTTTATAACTTTTTAAAATATGTTTTATTGATTTCAGAGAGGAAGGGAGAAGGAGAGAGACAGAAATATCAATGATGAGAATCATTGATTGGTTGCCTCTTGCATGCCCCCCAGTGGGAATAGAGCCCACAACATAGGCATGTGTCCTTGACCAGAATCGAACCTGGGACCCTTTAATCCTCAGACCGATGCTCTATTCACTGAGCCAGACTGGCTAGGGAAAATTCATTTATTTTCAGTGTTGGGAGGCTCGGAAGGCATCCTCTGCCTGAACACTATCAAGAAAGGAAAGTCAGCTTTGTATCCAGGAAAGTAAGCGGGTGAGGAGTAACTGTCCTGAGCCCCACTCTCAAAGTTGCTTAACCTTCGTTTGATGATTGAATTGTGCTCTCACTTTTGTTTTCTTACGCTTTTTGATTTCTATTGGGCTGTAAGAGTTTATGCTTTAAAATAAATGATGACCTGAGTTTCCACTTTAATAGTAGAATATTGAACATCTAGCCACAAGCCAGATCGAAGACAACTAAACACAAGACATCTTTATTTCACTGGCACTGTCGTTGTACAGCTACATGATGGAAAGCTGGAAAAGCCGATTGGCTCTCCTCCACGTGAATTCTGGACGTCAATTACCAGCCACACCACAGCCCAGCTACGTGGCATGAGAGGCTACAGGATAAGGGTGGGAAATAGCCCCAAATTGGTCATGTTTGCACACAGAGAATGAAGTAGGCCTTCAATAGAATAATCCTAATTAATAAAGTACTGACTGTAGGAGCGACAAAGGGGCTTGTCCTCGAGCTGGTTAACTATTCAGATGATGGACAATCCTTCTTTCATAAAAACATTCAGAGGAGGCATCCGGAACATAGTCTATGATACTGGGTCACGTATTAGTCACCACAGCTAATTGTAAGTCTTTCTGCAAAACATTGAAAAGCCTCTTTGTGAATTAATACAGTTCTGCTTGATGCACTTGATTTGAAATGACATTTCCCTGTATGTGGTGCATGTCGGCTTTGCTTTGAAAAATAACAAAGTTAGCAGAATGTTTAATATATTTTCTTGGGGAGTAGGGTTTTTATCATATGATTCATTAAGGATTTGCCTTACCCTGACATTTGTGATATAAAGGAAAATCAGGGAAAAAAAAAGTAATTTTCTTGATCAAGATATGTTTTTTTCTTAATGCAAATAAATGTAGTCTGTGGCTTGCAAGGAAAAATATGTCTTCTGGTATCTGGTATAAACTGCTAAATAGAATAATACGTGCCTCTTATGTTAAACCAGCATTTAAATGCTGAACTACTTCTAAATCTGTTTGTTTCTTTTCATCTTTGCCATACACTAAGAAATCTGAACAACTGTTGCCTTCATACTATATTTGTTAGAGCAGAATACAAATAAAATTTGTTTGAGAGGATAAGGTGGAACTATCTGTGGTTTGTGCAATTTGTTCCTCAGTCATGAGCAATGAATAACTCAAATGGAACATTAAATGCTTTATTTCGGGTTGTGAATATGTATTTATTTATTTATTTATTTATTTATTTATTTATTTTTAAATATATTTTATTGATTTTTTACAGAGAGGAAGAGAGAGAAATAGAGAGCCAGAAACATCGATGAGAGAGAGTCATCGATCAGTTGCCTCTTGCACACCACCTACTGGGGATATGCCCGCAACCAAGGTACATGCCCTTGACCGGAATCGAACCCGGGTCCCCTCAGTCCCCAAGCCGATGCTCTATCCATTGAGCCAAACCGGTCTCAGCTGCAAATATGTATTTAATACTGCCCTGTTACATCAACTTTAACTTACCAACATTCTTCCCTTTCTCATACTGGTTAATGCTTTGACCATGTTTTTCAACTATAAACTCTAAACAAATCCCAATGTGTAACTTTCCTGTCAACACTAGATAGTTAATCACACTAGCAGCAGCCTTTGAGGTGCAAGATACAAATTGATAAGATAAAGCCAATGGTTCCATGAATGTCATACATCCTTCAGAACCCATCATTCATTATTATTTTAATTTATATTTTATTGTTGACCATATTGCACACCTACCCTATTTTCCCCACTCTGCTACCCTCTCCCTAGCCCCTGCCTTCAACACACTATTGTCTGTGTCCCTGGGCTCCCAGGCCAGGTGTCTGAGTCCCCATGCTGCCAGGCCCAGCATCACAGGCGCAGATTTCCAGGCCAGAGGTGTGCAACAGGCAGAGGAAGGGGCTCCTCCCCTGTGCTCAAGTTGGGGAGGACCGATCCTTTTCCCTGGGACACTCTGTCTGACCCAGTCCTGCTCTCTGCCAAAGTTCTTTCAGTGAATAAACAGATTCAGTCCCTCAGATTCACTGCTGGGTGAACTGGTCAGACCCCTCTACTGGCCCCAGGTTCCACTGCCTGTCCTTCCACCGACACAGACTGGGGCAAGCTTCCTGGCAGCTGTTGTAACAAAGCACTTGCTCTGTGCCTGGGATAGTGTGGGCAGAACTGCACACCCAGCTGGACCCAATCACCACTAATTCCCATTGACCAATGCTACGTGGGCTGTGGAATGAGGACCTGGATTGGGGATCCCTTAATGGGGCTGAGATCCCCACCCCTCGCTCCTGGGAAACAAGGGTTGTGCACCTTCCTTCCAACTTGCCAGCTGCACAGCTGCATGATTTCATTTACTCTCTACACATTTCTTTGTCCCCTCTCTGCACTCCCTGCTCACCATAATTCAGATCAACTATTTTCCAACTGGTTTTCAGACCAAACGTTCTTCAGTTTAGCCGCATGCCCAGTCCAGTGCAAGGAGCAAATGGACAGAACTTCCCAAGTCTGAGTCATCCTGGACCCAGCCCTATTACTCATTATTGGGATTATCTTCAAGCACCTTTGATGACCCAGTCCCAGTGCTGGCTATGTGATCACTCAGGCATGAGCTTCCTCAGTCTATTGTTGATAGAATTTAGATTGAATTACACAATTGTTAAGAGTTTGGCAATTAATCAATAAGAATCGCTATGTCAAAAACTCAATATTCTTTTGAAAATGGAAATCTGTGTTCCATCATATTTAACCCCCTCCATTTCCTATAGAAGAGGTGCTATCTTGTTTGCTGTTCTAGAAAGCAATAAAGAAAGTCAACCTCTTTATCCATGAAACTCAGAAATGTAATAGTTAAAGAAGAATAAGGCTTTTTAAACTGTTGTACCAGAAAAGTGTTTTCCAGTAGTAAACAGTTCAGTGAGAAAAAACTATAGGAAGTACAATCTTATGCTGCAGGGAGCAACCTCAACACAAATACTTCAGAGTGGCAGGAAAGAGAATGTGACATGATTCAAGCATGGCTAGATACAGTTTTTAATCTGCAGCCAGTTTTTCATCTCTTTGCCTGTCATTCTTATGTCTTTAGCCCAATATTTCTACCTCTTCGCCTCACTTCAACCAAAGGTACAGTTAAATGTTGCTTAACTTTAGTGGTGGTTCTCAGGCCAAAAGGGATAACAATACGTGTTTAAGATGGTCTACCCAGTTGTGGGGCTTTGAGAAACAAACCTCCACTTCTTGGTTTGGAAGATGAAAAAAATGATACATTCCTGTGCTTGCCTACAAATTAAACATGAATAAAGTGCCAAGACATTACACTTTGCCATTTCAAAAAGCACTTGCTAAATTATTGCCATTAGATTCTGCCATTTGATACAGGCATCAAGATGTTTAACCAAAAGAATAAACAACCCTTACAGTTGGGCAGTAAATATAAAATCCCTTTTACTGATTTAAATTTTGCCTCTGAATTAAGAACCCATGAGAAACAGAGAAAATCCTAATATTTATATTAAAAACAAACAAACAAACAAAAACAGGTTCCGTAACAACCAAAGGCTTGAAAGGCTTGACCGAACACTTAAAGTCAGTTCTGCAGTCAGTGCTGGGCTGATGTGGAGACTCAGCACTGACTGCCACTGCTGCGGGTAGGGCGACCCAGCCCTGACTGCTGAGGAGGCTGTGGATCAGGTCTGGAGAGAGGCCCAGAGAGAGAGAGAGGCAGGGTCTGATCTGCAGCCTCTGTGGCAGTTGTTGATCAGCCCTTGCTTTTCTCTTTCTCTCAGGGCTTCACCAGCAGCTGTGCCTCTCTTTCTCTTTGGGTCTCTGTGGGGGCTGCTGATCACCCCTGCCTCTCTGATCAGGCCCAGAGATAGGCCTGGAGATACTGACTGGCATAAAAACTGACCAATCAGAACCAAATCAGGGTGAACTGTGAGGAGCCAATGGCTGATTAGGAGATGGAGATTTTGACACTGTTTGGCATAGAAACTAACCAATCAAAACCAAATCTGGGTGAACTGTGAGGAGCCAATGGCTGCCTAGAAGGCAGAGCTTCTGATACTGACTGGCATAGGAACTAACCAATCAGAACCTAATCTGGGTGAACTACAAAGGCAGAACCTAAGGTGGGGGCTGAGGAGGTGTTTTAAGGCAACAGTTGTTTGGTGTAAGGTTTAAGAAAGTGGTTCAATTTTTAATGACCCATTTGGCAGTGCATATTGATGACTATCAGTCCCGATATAGGGATTATGTATTTTTATTGGCCAAGAGTATCTCCTCCAGCTGTTAAAGGCTCCTCCCCTCCCCCCATTTAAGCAACCCTATCATATATAATCTATCTATATCACATGTGTCAAACACAAGGCCCGCGGGCCAAATCCGTCCCGCCAGGCCTTGCAATGTGGCCCGCACCGCGCTGTCATCACTGCACTCTGCTGCGTTTCCATCACAATGACAG